GTCTCCTGCATTTTACTAACAAATAATATACTCTAAAATATATAATGGCCTAAGAACTAGTACAAAAAGAGTAGGTACCATACTGCTCAGATAGTATACTAGTTAGATATATATAGAAAGGTAAGTTGAAGTTACATTATGATAAGGCAAATAATTAGAGAGTTTAAATAGATAATCTTCTGATAGATTATAAGTATGACATCTAGTATAAAACCTTAGAGTGGACTATTTAAATAAGCAACTAAAAGTTGTATGTATAACTAGTTGTATTCTTATTTCTATAAAAATAGTTGTAATAATTAACTCAATAAAAGTTAAAAAATACCATCACAAATATGGCCTTTAACAAAAAAATAATAAAAAAAATAAAAAAAAATATATAAGTTATTATTTCTTAAAACTGTTTTTTAGATAATTTATCTTTTACAATAAATTTTTAAATGAATTGAATAATCCATATTTATGTTGGGTTCATCTTCAAAAATCAGCTCAAAAAACATCATATTTGATATATTTAATAGCAAAAAAAAATTTTTTTGAATTTAGTTTTTTTATGATTAGGGGTTTTTATTTAGTATTAAAATAGAGTAATTCTGAAAAATCTTTTTTTTTTTTTTTGAATTTCCCACTGCTTGGTCGCTAGTGGGCCACAGCTGGCAGCTGTTTTATTAGTTCATATTTCAAGTTCATAGGACCTTCTATTAGGATTGCACTGCCTGATACTAGTTTGTATTCCTCTGTATAATTAAGGTTATACAAATATTTCAGACCTACCAGTCATGCTAATATGATCATAGTTACAGATATCCAATCTCAACTGATCGATAGAATGTCATCACTGTAATACAGTCTATATATTATATAGATGATTATTCAAATTTTACTGTTAGTAGGTTTTGAACTTATAACCTATTACTTGGGGGTATAACAACTTATTCACTTCACTAAGTCACCACACTCTAATAACTTATATTTAATTTTTTTTATTTATAAAAACTTTCTTAAGATTTTATATCTAAATAACTGCTTAAATATCTTTGATATAAGAATAATGATTCTAGTATAATAGTTAAGTTATCATTCTCTAAATGACAGGTCTAAGTTTCAAATTCTATTTATAATAAAATTTGAAAATTAATCTGTATTACAAAAACTGTCTTCTGTTGATTAGTTGACTTCATGCAGCTGTAATCCAAGTACACTAAATTAGGTTTTATTCATTATTGAAAGCTTGGAACATCTATACAAAATGTAATATGATATGTATATAAAGAAATGTTAATAACCAATATTATATAAAACTTCAGTATAAACTTATGATAAGACTACTAGGTGCAGAAGACTAAAAAACTGTAAAAACAAAATTCTATTTAGAAATTCACAAGTAAAGAGATAATACAAACTTTTGATGATACTATCAAACTAATAAAAGTTCATGAAACATCTTTATAGGAACAGACAGATAAACTGAATGACAAGATATGTAAAGGAGTATATGACCAATCAGACTATTAAAATTGCTAGAAAAAAAAATATTAAGGTATATCATACTGAACCATCTAGATTGGAAATCTAAGAAGTCTATCAGTTCTAAGTTGTGATTAGTAAAGGATGATAAAGAAGATGTCAAAAAGATAGATACCAGAGTTTAGGTGAACTTTATAAAGATAAAAATAATATAATGTAACAGTTTAAGATTAACTCTGACTGCAAGTGTTAGGTAACTATAATGTGTTACATAAAACTAGGTTAACTGTATATAGAACACAGAAGATTCTAGTAATGATGCTTCTAAGAATATATTACATAAAATAAGGTATGGGTTCTAAAGATACAGATAAACATCTAGACCTTCTTGACTAACTTATGTAGCAAAGATGATTTAGTGATACAGTAAGGATTGCAATACAGAGGGTTTAAATAGGCAACACCTCTAGTTGGGTTGCAGGTATGACAGTTAGTATAGAACCATTGGCAGACTACTTAATTAGACATCAAAAATGTACATATGACTAGTTGTACTCTCTAATATAAGAAGACTCCTTTGAGGCCTTAGCCATGAGTCCCTATATCCTAACTACTGAATAAAAAACCCTAGCTCCAAAAGAAGCTAGTTTAACTACAAAAAAACCTTTGATGTAATATTATTCAGGTTGTCTAAGATGCAAGATGGCTAAGCAGTAAAGATTGCTAATGATGACATCTTTTACTAGTAGTTCTTTTACTTAAATATGCAATATGCTGAACTTTAGACCTTTGAAAACTTCATTAAATAATTTACACTCATTTATTGGAGCCTTGGTTAGTATTTCATGTTATTGAACAATGTTATCCATGTTATCTATTGCATACATCCTACTTAAGATACAATTTGGTTCGTTATAAACCTAGTTATAGGATACACTGAAACCAAGTATCCTTCTAGGTGAATGTTTTGTTATATACAAATTTTGAATTATATAGTGCTTAATTTGTATTGTTGTAAATAACGATATCGCAAGCTATACAAACTAATAGTTTTTTTCTTTGGGGGTTTTTTTTTTACCAGTTTTATTTTAGAATACAGTCTATAATATAGCTGTCGTTGTTATTGAATCGTTTTCGTTGAAGTCGTCGTTGGTTGGCGCTTCCTTGTACAATTTCAGGCTTTTGTCGTTTTAGTGCTGTCGTTAGAAAGATTATAGATTTGTCGTTTCGATTTCGTTAGAGTGTAAAGTCCGTTATTAAATAATGGGAATATGTATAACTTTCTTTTTTTTTTAATATATTTTTTTGAAAAATTTCTAATTTCGCTCTTTACAGTTACCAACCCGTAGTTCAATGACCAACCCATTTTAAAATACCCAAATATTTTAACAACCGGTAAAAATGCTTTTTTCTATAGTTTAGCATAATCGATTTATTGATCTTTATTATTCGTTTTTGTCTTGTCTAGATACTAAAAAAGCTCGTTTCTTAGTTGTAACAAGTGCTTCAATGGTTACTTTTTCAACGTTACTTAGAAGACAATTTTCGTGCAACATTTTATCGAATAAAGGCCCCAAAAATCAAATCAGCCGAAATGTCTCGAAATAACGAGCACCTACGTATTGTTTTGAAATAACAGAATGATTTTTCAGATCGTGAAGAATCTTCTTTTAACATAATATTCGAAAATTCTGCAATGTTGATGTGCAAGTATTTATTATGAAAGTTAAAAAAAAAGCCATATGAACAGAATTATATAAAGTGTGCGTTATTTCAGGACGCGCATAGACGTCATTTCAAAACCAAATATATTATTTTTAGAGGCGCGAATTTCGAAATAGCATCTATGCCCATTATTTCGAGAATTTACGGTGGCCAATCATCGATATCGAATGTGGTATTTACATAAATATTTAATGTTTGTATTTCACGCAAATTTACTAATTTAAATAAATTGGGACGAAAAAAATTTATGCAGATGATTTAAGAATATCAATGAAGTTGGTAAAAGTGGATCTTCAATGATGTAAGTCATAACATTTGTTCTATATGACCTTGGCCATATTATCATATGGCTTTTGGTCATAGTCATATTAAAAAAGTCATAAGTCATCAATCTCGTTATGACCAAATGACATACGACAAGTCATATAGGTCATTTAAGGTTATAGAACAACACAAGTGTATCGTGCTGCTTGGTCCTGCAGCCTTTTCATAAAATCGAAAAGTGCGCTAAATAAAATTATGAAAATTTTATCATTGAGGTAATAATAACATGATGATTATTTTAGTTATTCAATTATGTGACTAACTATTTAATTAGTTAAAAGCATATAATCAAATAGGATACAAAAATTCTTCATTTCTAAAATGTCATGAAATAGTACAACAACCGGACTCCAATGAATATATCCTTATCTTAAAACGTGCATCAAGAGATTCATCACGAAATAATCTTGAGGATGTATGTATCTCAATTGTAATGGAAGCATATATTAAAACTTCTAAATTATATTATTTCTATCTTGAAGAAATTCATTCTCAAGGATATATTCATCGATATTTACATAGTAAAAACATTTTACAATAAAATTTACATGCCAATATATTTCTGATCTGGGACTATCAAATTCTAATTTTGAAGAAAAGCCGGAATTTTTAGAATTCTACCATAAGTTGTTCCAGAAATTCTAATAGATCTGTCATACACTCCAGCATCAGATATTTATTCATTTGGAATAATAAGATAGGAAACATTATATGGAATGTCTGTATTTTATGGTCATAAATTCAGTAAATTCAAAATATGTGATGATTTACGACCACCTCTTTATGAAGAAGTTCCTCGATGTTAATCTGATGAGAGAACGAAATGGTAAAATGATGAAATTATTTTATTGGAATTGAATAAATCAAAAACAACACTTGTAATTCATTTCTTATAATGTCAATTTTGCATAATAACGACAAATTATAAAATTTAACAATTGATGATGTAATTCCTGATAGTACCGTAAATGATTGTATAAGATCTTCCTTGATAGCAGATCCATCATATACTAGATCAAGGTGCAAATTATGAGATCTTTATCAATTGGATCAAAACTCTAAGTTATCTATTACCGTTGACCATTACTTACAGTATCCCTCAGAAATAGTCTCATGATTAAGACTCGGGTATTGCTCATCATCCTTACCGGGATAAGATTCAGAGGTATAACTATATTAATTTACATTGATATGATGTCCACAAATATAGTAACTGGTTGTTCATACAGTACGGATAATAAGTTTTTTATGTTCAGAACTGTAGAATCCGGTTTTAGAACCTAATTCTTAAAAACTAGGTTTTATTTTATTAATTACATGGGCTAAGTGTTGTTACGCGTCTCAAAAAAAGTTACAATAACTGTGAATATGATGCAATGATTATTCAAAATATAACGAAGAGTAAAACTCTTCGCTAATATGTATTAAAGAATTTAGATACTAAAAAAAAAAACATAACCAAAAAACGTGCACATTTTCCTTGATTAAGAGCGTTTCGAAAAATCTCTCAAATAATCTACATAACTATCTTCACATATTGCTCTTTGTTTCTCAAACACTGTAAATTAAATAGTCATTTGATTTTATGAATTTATTGTATACAAATTATTTGGTTAATCACAGTGAATAATAAGTGCATACTTAATTGTTCACCATCGTCCAATTTTTCGATAAACTCATTGTGATCTTCATAAATTCTTTTTGCTCGATCAAAGATTTCAAGACCTCTAATTTTTTTACTCTACAAATTAAGAAAAAAAAAAATGGTAATTATGAATAATTGGAAAATAGAATCGAATGCGTGTACCTTCATCAAAATTTCAGCTAAATCAGGATCTTCATACCTATTTCCAAAATTCAGAAAAAGAATTTCAGAATAATATAAATTTTCAACAAGATTCTTTAAATACAAAAAAAAAAAAAATTTCATGAAAAAAGATACAGTTCTAAATATTTTATTGCAAAAGTATAAAATTGTGGACATAAAATACGTAAATTGACATTTAATGGATTAACTTGCAACGCATTTATGACTTTATTTTCTAAGAATGCCGGTCTATCCATTGTAATCAAACGGCTTTTTTTGGAATATAGTTTATTTCACACATATATACGCATTGTAGTGATGAATTTTTTTTTAGCATTCCAGTATTTATTTTTTTTAAGCAATTAAAAAAATTAATAAATTTCAAACCGTTTAAACAAAACAGCAGCTATGTAAAATGGTAATTCCACACATTGGTTCGCCGAGATATTCTTCGATTATCGTTAAAAAAGAAACGCGTATATATTGTAAGCCAAAAAAAATAATCATTATATAATATAAAGTACAATATATTGAACCTTACATTTGACTTTGTTAAACCAATATATTTGCCAAGTCCTTGAACGTCATGATTAAATTTTACTGGAACTTTCTAATTTCAAAAAAAAAAAAAAAAGGTTATATCAGAAAAAAATTTAATAAATAATAAATAAACTATCAGATTAATTAACTGGTTCTTTTGCAAGGAATTCTTCAATTTGTTGATCAGACATTATCCTAATAAACCTTTATTAGTTAAAAAGCTAAACAACGCGACATGGTATCTGAGACCAATAAAACCATCTAATGTTACACAAATCACAACCGCCCAAATAAGAATTCCGGGTCGGATCCATCGGATTTAGGCCGGCATTTAGCAATACGAGTCACCCAAAATTATTAGCTGGGCAGCTTTACTTAACGTTAATGACTTCATTAGTAAACTTTTAGTGATCTTGATAAAATTGTTAATTCCGGCCCGCCGATCATGATTACGACCTCTGTATGAGTTCCAAATAAGGTGTCTCTTAAAGCGGGGCAGATTTACAGGACTAGTCGATCGAATTAGTCGATTTTGACTAACAGTTTTTAGTCAACTAACCGATTTCAATCCTTAGTCATAGTAAAGCCTTTTATTATACCAGATTAAATTTGGAGTAGACAAACGAACTGCCAAAATGCCTGTAAAGCTTCATGAATAGTCAATATGTAATGTAACCTAGCTTGCATAGAAGTAAAGTTAGACCTTTTCTTACTCTTAAGGTATTATAAAAAAAATTTTTTTCGTGATCAACCAATCAAATGGATTTTAATCATGCAGTTTTATATTGTTTTTAGCGTTATCGTTATGCAGCAGAAAATTTAGTACGTATCCTAAAAAATTTTTTAGTGAAGGTTATTTGACGCTTCGTGCCAAAAATTTATTTTCTGCTTCAAGACAAACCAAAAATCATGTCTTTGATTATCAAATGATATGCCTTAATAGAGTTCTAACCAATAGGAAACAAATGGGTTTGACGCATAATTTTGCATAATCATTATGTCCTTAAAATTATTTAAGGTATTTATATGACCAATTAAATGTCATTAGCTGAGGTCCAATTTCGCCGATTAGCCCATATGTTTTTAGATAATAGAACAATGTTATGGCCTATACTAGAGACTGGACTCGAGCCACCTCGTAGCCAAAAAAACATAGTCTTAACTCGAGTTAAGACTATGTTTTTTAAGCTACGAGGTGGCTCGAGTCCAGTCTCTAGCCTATACCAAAATTTGCAAGGAATTTTCTTTTTTTATTGATACAAAGAAAGTGATTTTGTAGAATTGTTTTCGCGTTAAATTTTAGCCAATCAGAATTCTTGTTGATTAGCCAATGAAATTGAACTTTCATTATGCCATACTAGGGTAATCTAATTATAACAAATTTGCATTTGTTTGCGAAACAGTTACTCAATAATTAATTAAAAGTTGCCGTTCACGTAAAAGTGGACGAAACATTCAACTTCTCTCTTTTAAAAACTAGTCCTTAAGTATGAAGCCTAACTTGAGGCCTTCAGTTTTAAAGTTAGGGCTCGCCCTTGTTGCCGTTGCTAAGACCACAACTGCAATTAATGGTATTTAAAGCTTGCATTTTAACGATCTATTTCTTTAAACAATATCTAATGGTTTTGAATTTTATATATTTACTCACGAATACATTAAATCAATTAGCTCCTTCAACTTCTGATTACTTTGTACGTAATTTACCCGGTCTTCCTGATGATGCGAATCTCAAAATGCATGCTGGGTAAGTTGCATTTTTAATTTTCATTATTTTTTTTAGATTTTATTAGAGATTAGAGATTAATAAATTTCTGATAATTACTATTATAGACATATTAACATCGATGAAAAGACTAGTTCTAACATATTCTTTTGGTTAATTCATAATCGTCACATTGCCGACAAACCAAAATTTGTAAGTTAATGAGGAGTTCTTTTTTTTATGATTAGACAATGTGTACATAAAACTTATTTTAAAATCGGAATTCTCATTAGATTATATGGCTTAATGGCGGTGAGTTCAGATGAAAATTGTAAAAGATATTTCATATGATTCAAAATGAGCTTGAAACTAATCAATTACAATTCTTGATTTAAAGGACCTGGATGGTAAGTTATTAAGCACACATATTTTTAACACAACTATTTGGAAAATCATATACTAACGTATAACTATTTTTATGATTTATTATTTAGTTCGAGGTAATTAATTGTCTTTATCTGATCTTTTAGTTATCAGAATATTAGTACTTATTAAAAATCAACCTCAAAGTATGGATGGCGTATTTCTTGAAACTGGTCCCTGGAGAATAAATAGCAATCAGACATTGAGATTGATCGATGGAGCATGGAATGAATATGCTAATGTGCTTTATGGTAATTATATTTTAATCAATTTCACAAGTTAATTTAATTTTATTATAATAAATCTCAATTATTTTATAGTTGATCAGCCTATTGGAACTGGCTTTAGTTTTGCTAGTAGTGATAGTTATTTACGTAACGTAACACAGGTTAGAATACTGTTATTACTGTTATTAATTAACAATTGATCTGAAAACTATACCACTTTTTTTTTTTTTTTTTTAGATTCCTGGACAATTTTTACTTTTCCTTGATAAATTTTTTGAAATCTTTCCTGAATATTCTAAAGATGAAGTATGTCAAAGTATTCTTTCTATTAAATGACTAGCCAATTATAATTATAATTGGACTTATATTTTTGTATTTATAAATTCAAGATGTATATTGCTGGTGAAAGTTTTGCGGGTACTTTTATACCTTACATAGCTTCGGCAATCTTAAAGCGTAATAGTGAAAGAAAAAGTTCTGTTAATATGAGGGTAAGAAGCAACTATTTTAGAAGATATCTATTTATATTCATAAGTTACCTTACTTCTATTAATGTAAATATATTATAATCCTAAGTATAATTTCAAAGGAATAGCGATTGGTAACGGGTGGATTGACCCTATCACACAAGTATGTACATATATATATGTGATAGTTTTTATCAATTGCATTTTTCCTAACTACAAATATAATATTAGTACAATGCATATTATACCTTTGCCGTAGAACATAATCTCTTGGATGAAAAGAATAAGGTACATAATTTTAGTATTTTGGATGAATTGGGAATTGCAATGATTTTATAGTTTATTGTATACAGGCTCTTGCCAAAGACAAGCTTGATATTTGCATGAAGGCACAAAAAGAAAAGGTCAGAATTCATTTAGATGAGTGTGAGCAAATTCTTCTTTTGATTTTGGATAGTTCGCGTAAACGGTATTTGTTGATTTTTTTTTTTGGTTTGTTGTATAAATTGGTTGTTGATACATATTGATTATTTAATTTTCTTCTTAGTATTGGAAAGAATGAAACATGTGTAAATCAATACGATATTCGAGACCATTCTGATTCATACCCTTCTTGTGGAATGTCATGGCCTTATGACCTTAAAACTATTTACACATACTTAAGGGTAATGAAGGAATTTATAATAAATAGTTTTATATTTGTATGTTAGTCATGAAATTCAATTCTGGTAAATCTTTACTGTTCAATAGCGTTCTGACGTTATCGGTGCAATTCATGCTGGCGCACAACAACTCGGCTGGACAGAATGTAGTAGTAGAGTAGGTCATGGCTTTGATAATGATCCAAGTTCACCTGCTGTTCAGGTAAATAAATTAGGTTTCTTGTATTTAATTGTAAGTTTATTATTAATATCTAATACATTAACTATGTACATATACAACGCTGTAGTTATTGCCTTCGATTTTAAAACAAATTAATGTTTTATTATACGTGTATGTATATATATACCTTATTGTCATATTTTATTATTTTTATTTATTTATTTATTTTTTATTCATTTATTCATCCGAATTTCAATAGTGGAGATCAAGATCTCATTTGTAACAAAAACGGTATAGAAGATATGATAAAGGGGCTGGAGTGGAATGGAGCTAAAGGTTTTAAGGTTGATTTCTTTGCTTTCGGTGCCTTATATTTCGGCATAATGTTACAATTTATTTATTTTTCGTATTATTGCATATAGAATCTTACCGAAAAGCACTGGTTTGTTAATAATGAGCTAGCTGGGCATATGTTGTCAGAAAGAAATCTTACATATGCGGTAGTTCACAATACTAGTCATATGGTACCTTATGATAAACCAGGAGTTAGTATGGCAATGATGTATAGGTTTATGGGAATAGATAAACATATTGAAACCAAATTTCAGATCAAATTTGATGTAAGTTTTCTATTTTTATTATTGTAAAAAAGATGTTATGAACTTTTAGATTAATTGCGTTACTATGTTCTAGTTGGATAACACCACAACTCCGGCTTCGAACGCAAATGGCACAATGTATAATGGCGAAGATAGTGAAATATTGAATCGATATTACAACGCGTAAGTCTTTTTTTTCCGAAGCGTAGCACTATCACGAATGTCTGGTGAATAGAATTTCATGAGAGGGATTTGAAATTAATGCAATTAATGTAACAAATGTGCTGTTAGCGATCAACTACGTATTTTCTTCGGACGTTTTATCATATTCTGATTTCCTAGTTTGTTGTCATTTCGAATAAATTATGATAATTATTAATTTTTTATTTAAAAACTTTTAGTGGAACTGCCACACTCATCGTTGTTGTTTGTGGTGTTATTGCTTTGGCTGTCTTTGTGTTTCGTGGAAGGTTTAGACGTAGGAAGAGTGTTAGTCAAGTAATGAAAGCCGCTGTAGAGAGTTCTGATAGTGAAATGTATGTTTTATTCTTATATTTTGATCTTTTACATAATTATTAAATCGATAATGTTCAAATTTAATTATCAATAAAACAGGGCCGAACTTGTTATTGAGACTCCACTAAATTCAGAGGATATTGACCATTTTGGAGATAGTGACGAAGAGGACAATCATGATCATGATCAGTCACTTCTCAATTCTAAAACACAAAGTGATCAAAACGATATCGAATTCGAATGAATAGTTTTCTGCAAATTTTTTAGGGTGAAGATAATGGTATGAAGAGGTTAACATTAAAGAAGGATTTATGATTAATTAATCTTTTAGAACAAATTTGATAATCTGTTAAAAAACATTTAGGATATAGTATTTATTTAATTATAAAATTTTATATTGATTTTTTTTTTTTTTGTGGTGTTACATTAGACTAAATAAAGTGTATATGTACATAATTTAGTTTCAATTATAGAATTTATATTGGCATTGTTATATGATAATGGAAATAAAAATTTATAATTTTTTTAGTCATAAAAAGTTTATTTACAATTTGTATAACAGACAGGTAGTGAAGCGTACTGTAGCATTGAACTCGAGTAATGGTATCTATTGCATCCCTTTTTTGTAATTATATACATCGGACTATCGCTATAGAATGCTTAATAATTTATTAGCCAAATTACTTAATATAAATTCATCTTTATACAAGTCACTCTCGTTATAGTGAAGTGATTGGACTGAGAAAAAAAATCTTTACTATAGCTATATTGAGGGAATACTATATAAACTTTATTATATCGAGCGAAGAATTAAAAATAATGGCAATGAATTTAAAATAAATTCTTCACTATATCAAGTCTTCACTATATCAAGTCTTCACTATATCAAGTCTTCACTATATCAAGGTCTTCACTATGTCGAGAGTTCACTATAACGAGTGACTTGTACATAAAAATTATAATTTAGAATAATACTATCAGTTCAACACCACATACAGTATAGCTTTACTATTAAAATTTAGGACTAGGATATTGTTATATGTTAGGATAAGATTAGGAAATTGAGCATGAAGTTTTTTGGGGGAGCAGAACATTTTTAATTAGAACATCAAACATTAATCATTTAGGCAGTTTTTGAGATATGACTTGATAGTCTAAATTAATATAAAAACTTTTCTTTAAAAAAAAGCAATGCTTTAATTGATTTGTTTTTAATTATTGCTTGGTTATGTTTCTTGTATAATTTACTATCTAACGATATAACTTTAATATAATAATAACGAATATGCAATGTATCTTAGAGAATTACGAGCGTCTGTTAAAAAACCATTTTGCCTCACGAGTTATATTTCTTTCATCACTTTTAAACGCGTCAACAGAGATCAACATTACTTTTGTGAAAATTTTTGGAAAACAAAAGGATTGCCACTTCTCTACCACTAATGACACTAGTTTATACTGGGACGCATCGTGATATATCACACGGAACCGCCTAAAATTTTTCTTAATCGTTTACAGCTGTTATCATAAATTCTGGGACACCTGGCAAAAATTAGCCGAATAGTTTTTCGGCCGATCCGGTTAAGTAATTAATTTCGGTATAACGATAATATAGACCAGGGTAAAAATCGTCACCCAAAAAAGTTTCGAACATTACATGAATAATATATCAAGCACTAACAATTTATGTAACAAAAAAATACAAACAAAAATTCAGACTAACAAAATAATATCGATAAGCAATAAATTAATCATTTTATTTATTCAATAAACGT